ATGATATATCCAACAAAGGGCTTCAACTAATGAGGCGCCTCATTAAAATGTGATGCAACTAAATGACACCTATAAATTCATCTACTCTGTTAACCTGCCTTTTCTTCTATTGCTTTCTTGTGGCTATCCAAGGAAATGGAAACAAAAGAAGATATACTAATTAAATGAAACAGGTAAACCCAAAGGTGCAAGGGTGCAATTCAATAATTAAAGAAAAGAAAGATAAAACCCCCACCCCTTTCTCAGCTTTTTCCCAGGCTCCTTCCCTGCCCTTTCCCCCTGGCTTACCTGAGTTTTCAGCACTGGGCAGCCATGTGGTCCCAGGCCATAAGCCCCTGCTTATGGGCTTCCAGCTGGGGGAGCAGAGCCAGGTGGGCTTCCCCTGGGTCCTACTGCCCTTGGTTCCTGTCATTTTTGACAGGAACCAAGGGCAGATAAATATTAATTTTCTATTTTTTTTAGGGGCCCCGCAGGCCAGATGGAATGGCCTCATGGGCCAGATGTAGCCCGTGGGCCGTATTTTGCCTACCACTGAACTAGGCACTGAAACCTCATCAAGGACAAAAATCAAAGCCAAGATCTTCAGAAGCCATCAGAGTTGATGGCACAACATCCTCGGCAGATGCAAGTCAGCCAAGAACACACCAGTTCCTTTGTCCTGGTAAAAAGAACATTTGTGGTCATGTATGAATTTAAGGTGATACCTATTCATTAAGCATGCAAATCGAGGTGTTCTATTATTTGTGTTCAATTTCCAGATTTCTTTGGCTATGTTAATTATGTTTTCTAAATAATATAACTAATAATACAAATTGAATCTGGCTGGGGGTAATTCCATTAACCAGGACTCTCTTTCTCTGCAATAAGCTTATGTTTTTTTACAGCACCATTACAGCTAAGTGACCAATCATAACAGAAATAAAACTACAGCTTATGACCAAAAATAGGCTGCAATTTGTGTGCACAAACTATTCATCAAACAACTGAAAATAACTAAATGTTCATAAAATTCATATCTTATATGCAAAAACAGAAAAAGTAAACAGAAAAAGTGGTATATTTATTGGCTAAAAAGAAGGAAAGGGGTTCCATTTATAATTTTAGTAGCTCTAAAGATAATCCTTCTGGTTTTACACATAGGAAGACTATGTACAACTACAAAAGTTACAGGAAGAAGGTGTTAATAAAAGGAATAGATTGAAAATGGCATCACAGACCACCATAATGATATTTTGTACCACTGATTCCATGTACATAATATTAAAGGGCATAGTTCAGCACATGTGTCTGTATGGTTATATTTAAGAACAGAAATAGTTCAAATGAAGCTAACAGACTTCATATGCTTGAGTTTTGTGTGCGAGTGCTTCCACAATCAGGATCCTACTCTTCCGAACATCAGTTTGTTCTGTATGGAATATGCAGAAAAGTAAGATATTGCACATACGAAAAATGGAATAAATCAGAATAATGAAAAAGTGAAGACTTTAGGGTAGGATTTATAGCAGTGAAATCAAAATGTGCTTTGCACAGGACACTGCAAACCAAAGAAAATGGGCATGCTGCTAAAGAAATCTGCAATTGTTTTTGTGTATGGAGACTTTAAACTAGCCAGCTAGTGACTGCTGTATTCCACTCTGAAACTGATGCTCCTATTCAGGGGTGTGTGTGTGTGTGTGTGTGTGTGTGTGTGTGTGTGTGTGTGTGTGTGTGTGTGTGTGTGTGTGTGTGTGTGTGTGTAACATAGCTTTGTATGGCTAGTGTATTTCACAATGCAAAAAGGATGTTATCAAAACAGCAGGAGATTAAGAAAAGGGAGCAAACCTGGTCAGTGGCCAGATATGAATCAGGGTCTGCAGATGTGTGTTAAGATGGGCAAGTTCACTTTTTCAGAGAGATTAAAAACAGTCAGCTGCTGCAGAATGAAAGATGATGCCAAACTACAAGTTGCACATCATTCAGGGCAAGCACAAGGCTTTGTATAGAGCTGCCCAACAGTAGCCCAGGAAGAGAAACTTTCACAATTTGGCAGGTGGATGGTGAGATAATCATGTGGATATGGGCACTGACCTGCCTGCTAGAATAGATATTAGAACAAAAAAGAGGAAGATACTGAGAAGATATTGGATTTCTTTTGGTAATTGTGACTTGCAGTTTATTATCATGTTAAAATTGGCCATCAACGGGTTTCGTTTTGTTTTGTTCTAAATTTTGAAGGAAAATTGATAATATCAGTACTCAGCTATCTCCTGTCACCACTATCTTGTCTTCTGACACAGCAGCATCTCATAACTTAGACCTGATGGAATCCTACTGATCTCTTTTGGGTCAAGGGCTGTGGTTATAGAAAATGACTGTAACAAAAAAGAATGACTGAGGGGGGTGGGGAGGTGCTGTATGCCAGAGGGCTAATGCTTTGTGCAACTGACAGCATTACAAATATGGTATTACCCTTCTCACTGCCTCTCTTGTTCTAAACCATAACTGGCCTGGCTATAAGGATAGTTCTTGGAATACAGGAATGTTCCTAACGTGGGTCATTATTACTCTCTCTTCAGCATGTGGGAGACTTCCCCCCCTCTTAAAGAGTGAAGTGGCTTCATCATTAAGAGGCCTTGATTGTCCTCAAGCAATTTTTAGATTTCCACTCTATTACCAATCTGACTTTTTTAGCAGGGGCCATGGAATGGGCAGCGGCTGTTTTATCTTCGTTATAATGCAGTGTTTGAAACATTTCAATTAGGCTTCAGATCAGGCCACAGCACTGAGACCGCCTTAACGAGGGTGAGTAATGACCTTGTGTTGCAGGTGGTTTTTGGCACACCATCAATTTTAATTCTTCTTGATCTTACTGTAACCCTTTGATACACTGGATCAAGGGTTCTCTTGAAATGCTTCAAGCACATCTTAGGATTTTCAGGAACCATTTTGACATGGTTTCATTCCTACTTGTGTCAGCAGAACCAGACTGTCACCTGCAAGTTCTCCATGTAAATTCAAATTACCAAAGATTAAAAGACCTCTGAAAACCTGGTCTATATGCAGATCAGTGCATACCTGCCCTGGTCCTTAAAAGAAGAGAACCTAAGGAAAATTTGGCAATAAGAATGCAGTAACCGCTTTGATGTTTGACGCCCAAATGGACTGAGTGGTGATTAGAGGCAGCAAGCAAGAGAGTACTTGAGTGAATTTAAAAAGACACAAGAAGAGATGGACTTTCAGAGACATGCTTCATGTTTGGTCCCCATCCACATTGATTGGTCTAGATTAAAGCCAATCATACTTGCTATAAATTAAAGCTAAACATACTTGCAATAAATTCCTGGGCCTATTGACTCCAATAGGATAAGGATATATCACCTGAACTTAGGGCATATTTGCATTTAGATCCAGTGCTCAGTCTCGCAGGTTGAACTGATCTCTAGATGCGCTGGGTATGTAAGAAGTGGATATGCTAACATTTTCAGACTGTTTCCCCAGTACTATGGGTTGAAGAGTTCTGATTTTCCTCCAGGATAATGAAACAGTAATTTAAGGAAAGGGACTAAAGCTTCCACCCCACAAACATCTTAGAATGAATTTTCCAGAACCTCCAAAACCTCAGCCTGTTTTATGTTATACAATTTTCCAAGGGGAGAAAACAAGGATCTTGCATACATAAGCTTCCTACCATGGTACCGATATCCTGGGAACAGGAAAAAGACAGTGAAATAGATATACAATCTGACACAAAACTCCCCAAACCCTTTAAATAGTACCTAGGCATGAACACTCCAGAATAATTCAGTATGCATGTCTTCAGTGTAAAAAGATACACAGGGCCTGAAGCTATTTCAGCTACTGCTTGAGTAGACCTGGACACCTAGGCAAGTAGGATGGAACAGGAACATGAGTCCCTCCAAAACAGTTAGTGTATACAGAAGTGCTCCAGGCACATTTTACATCACTGTAATTTAAAGCACTTTTTATAACACTATCAAGTTACACTGCTTTTTAACATGACAGAACTGCATGTTTGGAAGGAGGGGAGAGTGCTTCAAGCCTCCCTGCACTTTCCAGGTTAGGAGGCAGGGGGGACTCCACAGCCTCCTGGGGCTTCTCCACTGGTCAAAATTTTGACCAGCAACAGAAGTTATTTTAAACACTGTAGGTTGCTTAAGTGCTGTAAAATACAGCCCATCAAATTTAATACCTCATTTAACAAGGGTTCATTTAAATTATGGTACCCATTTTAAAGTGCTGTAAAGCCATGCACTTCTGTTAAGTCCCAGCAATAAAGCGCTTTAAATGGGAAAAAAAAGCAACTTTTGTATACACCTATCAGAGGTGGATGGATCTTCCTTCTGCTTGTGACTTGGTCTTAGGAGTAAGATGATAGTGTGTTACAAAAGCAAGTGTGTTACCATTTTTTTAGGGACTTGAGCAGGGTAGAATAGAATTGGACTCAGAGGTCCAATAGGTGGAACAGGATCTGCCCCTTGGGTCTTCTCCAAGAGAAGCATGTAATTCTTATCATTTTCAGTACACTGACCTCAGTTAGGGCTTGAGTGTGGCTGTCTACAAATACATACCCAAGGAGAGAGGATGCAATAACCTCTCTTTAAGCCAAGCCCAGTGTCTAGGTAAGAATGTGGTGCTTGTCCTGCTGTACAAGAATCAGCAGGCTCTAGCAACACCAGCTGGGCTTCATTAACGTGGGACAAGGACAGGACAAAGACTCTGCGCTGCCTTTTTCCTTAACAAGGCAGGAATATATCCTGTGTTGTCCTCAAGGATGTGGGAAGCAATCATTGTTTCAAGCAATTCAAAGGTTTTCCCAGAGAGGCCATGGCTAGTGCAGTTACAGTTGCATGTGAGCACTGCCTTGCCTAATTACCAGCTAAGCATTAAACCACAGTGTCATCCTGTTTTCCCAAAATGCCCTTTTCTTATTCACAGTGCATGCATTGGGACTGTATCACTGAGCATGGTGATTTACCGCGCTTCGCTGACATACTTACAAACAGAGCAAGCCACAATGTGCTCAGCAGTTCTGCTACTACTACCATTGAAAGCAATGGGCAAGCCATTTACAAGTAATAGCTTCCTGTGCTGTTTCATTCCTGAAGCTCTTCTTACCTGCAACAACAAAGATAGCCATTCAGATGAACCAGAGAAAGCCATGGGTTTTGCTGTAGATACATGGCACTGGCAGAGAACTGCTAAAAAGGCTTAAAACTTGCTATCAGTCATTTGATTTATTCAGGTAATGGATCTAACAATGTATTGATATGGCTCCAGTCACCATCTCAAATGGTTTGTCTGTCATTTTACTTTTTATTCTCAGTTTATTACAGTGCACTCCCCTTATACCAGACGTAGCTATTAAGGACAATCATTTATAGTGGACGAAACTGATTTCCCAAACCAAACATATTAGATACAATATATTTTTCACGGGAAGTACAAGGCAGAAAACTTGCACTCCACTGATATTTTCATGTGGAAAAAGGGTAGCAAGCTATAGGTATTTCTACTGCAATCTAAGCTGGCAGGTACAGAAATGACATGAGGGATCTCTGCAGGTTTTGCTTCAAACAAAACTGTTGCCTAAAAGGAGGAAAAACTCCTGTTAAAGTTATAGATGCCATAACCTTTGACATACAAAAGGAGAAGGTCATTTAGCACTGCCCTATTTACAGTATAATGAATACATGCCTTACATCTGTTGCAATTCTTAATAATGCTGGAAAAAGTCATAGTAATGTGTATTATTCCCAATTCAGAACCTCCAGCAACAATTATATTGCAACCAGTTGTATAATCATTATATTTCAATGCCATAGCATGGCCAAAGTGATGAATGGTTCTAAACCCCAAAGAGTTTGATCTGTTAAACACATATAAGGCACTGTCAAATAAATATTCTGATTTAATCACATGACTGAAACTGCATACTCCTAAATTGTAATCCCAGCTTTCTCTAGTTCCTGTTGCTCTGTAACTTTGACCAATCTACTTTAGAACAGCTCTAAATTTCACCAACTAAAAATAATACATACATACATGCCTTGCAGAGGGGTTAACTGGTTTAATTAGTTTGTGTCTAAAAACGCAACTTGCTATGAAAATGCTTGATATAGTTAAACAAATGAAAGCCCATTTTACATATTCTAGTAGAATCCAGAGAACTTCGGCAAAATTTATTAGTGTGATTTAGACGTGTACTTCAGCTGAAAACACTGCACTAACTTCAACCGGTAGAGAAAATTAACTTTCTTATTATGTGCTGTGACCGCAAAGGAAATTTACAATGATTTAGGATAAAAACCCTAGTTCACTAGGCAAAATGATAAAGATTCTCTTATGTAGGAAATAAATAGGCAGTGCTAACATGCTAACACTTGCATGTCTCCTTATGATACATGATCTAACATTTGTAAAATTCAAACTGAAGAACCAAGAGGCTTAGTGACTTGTCGGAGAGCACTTCAGGCTGCCTACTCCTGGATTTCTTATTACCATCTTGCATGGGAATACAAAGTAAAATAATTTGTGACCTGCAGGTAAAATTGGGGTTTTCAGGTCTGAAAAAAGATCAGTCCCAGTGAAGACACAATTCAGGGTTCAGGAAAACATCTTTCTTCTTGGCAACAGTCTCTGTGGTACAGCTTGGCCACAAAACCACATTTTTTCCCTATCACCTTCTTCCTCACTCAGAGAAAACAAAGCAGCTTTTCAGGAGTGGAGGTATCTGCCTGCAGGATTTCTGGAGTGGACATTTAATATAATCTAATAGAGAGGGAACCAACCAGAAACTCAAAAAACCTTAGGGTTGAGGTCCTTCTCTGCTGCTGGCTTGTTGCAAGTCACTTTCTGCTTCCATGCCCCCGTGTGCTCTGTGGTCTTTTTGTCTTGTCAGTTTACCCATAAATTCTTTGGGCAGAAACTGTTTGTTCCAACTATTGGTACAGCACCTGATACAACAGGAACCTGATCTCCACTGGGATATCTAGTTGCTACTATAATGTAAATAATAATAATAGGTTTCTCTCTATCATGCTAGCTTTAGCCAACCAACATGAGACAAATACACGTTTGCCTCCCTCTCAGTTATCTTTCCCCTGCATCCAATAATCACTTCTCTAGCAGTACATGAAAAAGGGAGCAGCCATAGAAAACAAAGGAACAGAGCTACCATAAACCTTAAATGACATGCTAACTGCCTTTGAGTGATGAAAGAAGCAGACATTATTTCCTGACATAATTTGTAGCAGAACCCCCTTCACTGGGGAGTGTTTCAGACCAGTGCTATACTATGTATTGTGAATCACAGGAAATATAAGCTAGGAAAAGTGGCTAAAATAGATGTTCCCATGCTTACCAAAAACCCAAGACCTTTAACAGAGGAGTCATGGCTTAAGCAGGCAGCCTTAACAGCTCTCCTGGCTCAGCTGCAATCAAGATACCATCTACTTAAATAAGCATTTATACTCCCAGTGATCCTAGAAGATGAATAACTGATCTCATTACCATGGTAAATACCCTTGAGGCAATGCACAGGCCAATACAATGTTACTTTCCACTGATAGAGTACCCGTTTCCAGGAGAATCTGAGGAATTTCTTGCCGTGTGGTAGTAATAAAGCTTTGCTTAGTCTACATCTGCCATAAAGTTCCCTTTGCAAACAGTGACTTTGAAATCTTTGACGCTGTTCATGGGAAACAGCTTGTTAGTCGGTGGGATTTTTCTGAACCAGTTCCCATATTTCAGCATTACTAGTGGGTGGAGTAGATCTGCAGGTGACAGCTCAAAAAGATTAAATGGGGAAATTGCTCAACTACTACAGTGATAGGTAGAATATGAAAATCTAGCAAAAGTCACTAGTTAGGAAGAAAGAACTCATCTCTCTATGTTTCCTAATTAATCTTCAGGAGCGAAGCCCCTGTATCAGGCCAAAAAAGCCTCCTTTTGAGGAGAAGTGTTGCTCCCTTTTCCTATAAGGAAATGATCTTCACTCACTTCCAGAGCTGGGAGTCACAACTGGCAGAAAGGTCAGGATGCAAATACTTGACAGAATAGAGGTAGCCTTTACTTCAAACATCTTCCCACCTTCATTGATCTATCCCTGACACATTAACTAAGTGGCAGAAGTTGTAGGG